TTATAGAGACTATATATATATATAAAAAAACTAAAACGAGCCAAATATGAGCGAACAAAGAGTTGTTCGTGTTCGGCTCGTTTATAATTCGAGCTTTAAAAACTTATTCTTATTCGGCTCATTTACTTAACGAACGAGTCGGCTCGTTTACTTAATGAACGAGTCTAACACGAGTTATTCACGAACAACGCACTTTTTTTACAGCCCTAGATGTCAAACAACAGGCCGGGATACGCGGAGCGGGCGCACACACACAAGACACTTCCTTAGCCCCTTCCAACTCCAATAAGGAATCTAGGATATTCTGTTGGGATTTTTTTTTTCAATACCCTTTTGATTTCTCAAGGAATTCGCAATTTAATTTCAATACCCTTTGGAATTCCCAAATTAATTAAAACTCTGTTTTAATTTTAATAATCGTTGGAATTCATTAGTGTTTTTAAGAGAAATAAATTTTAGAATATGGTTCATATAGTGTCTAAGTTCAACACATGAATTTAGTAACATTCCATAATGTGTTCACATCTACTGAACTCTGTGATGCGCATAACACTATAAATTAGATGTGATGTTTGTTGTTTTGGTCCCTAAGCTTGCTCCTCTTCATTTTATTTGCACCATCGGGTTGTGAGTGAGAAAAACTTAGAAGATCTGTAACAGAAAATTTGTCGTGTGAGTTGTGAGTGTTGACTCTGTTCGTATAAGTTATGGCTGGAGGTATGTATGATCATATCTCGCTTCCGCTTATCGATTTAAATATGTTTGTAGATCGAATAAAGTTGTGAGATATTAAATTTGGTATCAGAGCCGGGATTAACCTCTCTTGCTTACTCTGTTTCACTTTGTTTGTACATAAATCTTGGTTGAGACATTAAAGTTAATGTTTGTTCTAACTGCCCGTTTTTTTTTAAACATTTAGATTTTTGGGGTATTAGAATTTTGACGTTGTTAATCCAAAATAAAACCAGAAATCATTTTGAAATCAAGTTTCTAAGCTTTCTGTGATTTGAACCATTGATTTTGGCTGAGAAACCGTCGGGTTTCCCATTCGGAGCCACGAGTCTGAACTGGGTTTAGAAGACCCAGCTAAAGGATGAAGACGAGCCAAACAACTTGCCGTCTGGGCAATGGTGAAAACGACGTGTCGTTTTCATTCGGCAAAAATCAGCCTCGTCATGCAAAATGACATTTCGTTTTGAGTCAATATATATTATGTTAAATAATATTTATGCATTGTTATTCATTTTATTCGCATTATTTATGATTGTATGTAAATGTTTAGCTCTTAATAGATAATTAATTAATGTTAGTTGATTCATATAATTTTAATTAATTAGGAAATAGCCAGAGCATCTTTAATCTATTAAAATTATATATTGAATTCGAGAATCACATTAAAACATTAGTTGTAACTAATCATATGAGATATAATAAAATTTACCCACATGAATTTTGTTATATTTGTATGATTAATTAGAATGAAATATCAACTTATATTTCTTAATCTACCCACATGAATTAAGAAAAAGGAATATAATTTGATAGTTTTATCATAAAGTTGATAGATGAATCTAATTTAAGATTTTTGCCCACAAGCAAGTTGTATGTCATTAGATTCATCGATTTGAGCAAGATTTACATTGGCAAAACATGTTATTTTGTTTTTGAGTCTCAAAAAATAAAAAAAATAAAAAATAATAATAAGCTTATATGTTTGGAAAATTTTGCAGTTATTCAACCCGCGAACATTTCTGATTTTAAGTATAACATTCATGAATTAAATGGTGATAACTATAAGGTGTGAAAAGAGAAAGTTTTTCTTCATTCAGGATGGATGAATATTGATTATGTTATGAGAAAAAAACGAACCACATGTCATTACTGAAATCAGCATTTCAGTTGTTATTGATCTTTATGAAAAATGGGAGTGATCTAATCGTCTCTCTGTGATGTTCATAAAGACCAAGATATCTACTGGTATCCGTGATTCTGTCGAGCAGCATAATAAGGTCAAGGACCTTCTGAAAGCCATCGATGAGCAGCTTACAACATCTGACAAGGCTCTGGCCAACACCTTAATTATGCAATTTTCATCCATGAAGCTCACCGAAATTAAAGGCGTGTGTGATCATATCATGCACATGAGGGACATAGCGGCTCAGCTTGCAGCTTCAGAAGTTAAAATGTCGGAATCTTTTATGGTTCATTTCTTTCTGAACACTCTGCCCCAACAATATGGACCCTTCAAAATCTCTTATAATACTCATAAAGACAAATGGTCAATATCTCTTAAAATTCCAATTCAATCACCAATCAAATCCATACTCGATAATTTGTAACTTAAAACTTAGTTCAAAAAAGTTAGCTCTCTCGCATTGAAAATGAATCTAATAAATTCAACAAACCTAATGATAATGAAAGAGAATAAGAATATCCAAACCCAAAGTTACTATAAATGAACCAATGCCTTCGATGAACAACTCAAAGTGAGCATGATTAAAAATTTATTTTTTTTATTGTTCAACAAGTTTCTTATTAAATGATTTATTGTTAAATGATATATTAAATAAATACAACTTGATTAATTAGAAATTATTTAATTATATATTTAACAATAACATATCATAATTTAGTATCAAAATGTATATTAATCAAATGAAATTTCTTCACAATTTTTTTATTCCAATGAACTGTCGATATTTATTTATAATGTTTGATTACAAGAAATTTTACCTACAATTTACCTATTATTTTATTTAAATGGCGGAAAATAGCAAAATGCTAATTCAAAAAAATCACTTACAAATCAAATATAATTTTTTAAAAATTTTAAAATAGCCAAATATGAATATTTACGTAAAAGCTTCGCTCGAACATGAATCGAAGTGCTAAACACAAATAGCTTATCAAATAACTAAGTCGAAAACACATCACATTCATCTCAATTACTCCCACAAGTCGGCTCGAATTCATTGAGTTAAATTTGATTTTGAGCTCAAACTCGAATAATTAATCAAACTTAAGTCTAACTTGAGCTCACTTGTTTCCACCTAGACTTCAATAATTGTAGAGAGTAACGGGCAGACTGTCACAGTCTGTGAGAATAATTTGTGTAATCATCATGGTAATTCGGCCATACATAAACATCATCTTCCATTTAAGATTTTTTTTATTTATTTATATTTTATTTTAAAAATATATTTTTATATAATTTACACATTATATATATATTTTTTTTAAAATAAATTGATTTATTTTTTTAAAATACTCAAAATACTTTATAATATATTATCATCATCTCTAATAATTATCATGAATATTATAGTTATTGCCATTACGTTATCAATTACTATTATTATTGTATTAATGATTATCCTAATCGTCACATAAATTAATTTATTTAATATTTTAAAAAATATTTTTTAATATTAATATATTTTATTCTATTTCAAAATATAAATAATGTAAAATAAAAATAAAAATAATGAATAAATGAATAAAAATAATTTATAATGACCCCTTAATTTTTTAGATTAATGTAAGTACCAATTAAAATCATCATGAGTTGGTGTGCTTTCTAGATAGTCAATCAAATTCACAATTGTCACAATAAACGTGTAAAAAGTGTGCATAAGTCTCTTTTGCAATAAAATAATTAGTAGATATGAATGAGAGTTTAATGTATAATATTGGAGTGGTAGTTATTGATTGTCTACTTAATTCTGATAATTTCATGGCTAGAGAAGATGACATGGCATTGTAGGGGCCCATAACTGGTAATCCGAAACCCCACGCCTCTCTGGCTGGCTCCCATAGTTTAGGATGAAGACATTTGTCAAATAAATGAAATTTGATTACATTCTTAGAAATCAACCTACCTACGCAAGACCCACATTGTTGAGAATTTTATGGCACACGAATTGACACAAATCGAGAAATAAACACAGATTTAACGTGGTTTGACAAAGATGTCGACAGTTTTTTCTTCAATTATGAAAAAGAGTACAAGATATTCATAGGGTTACAATACATTATATAATATATATATATATATCTGGCGTATAATATGAAATTACAAAATTATCTATATACCGTACAGTAGGGGCATTGTCCTCGCACCCCCAAGCCACGTAACAAAAACTCCCTTGATTTAACAAATGATTTCACACCACCCCGCTACATTGGCTTGCACGGTTCCGCTCCAACATGGGTCCCTTACCTATTATATAAGCCTACCTACCACGTATAGATAAATCCAACATTTTTATCTGCTCTGGCCCAATGACATCAGTGATATTTTTGCTTGTTTAAGACAGTTTTTGGTGAAACGGCCAACGGCTACCATTTTTTTGTTTTCCTACCTAATTTTTGACAACCCCAATCATTATTATTTTTACCATGCTCCTGCTGCACGACCCAGACATTAAATAAGCACCAGAGGAGCAGCTCGTCCTCACCACCACTCTCTTCTTCTTCGTCACCAAAGCTTCCAAGAGCCTGCATTCATGGGTTCGGCTGCGAGCGAAACGGAAAGAGATGTGCTCAAATCGCTGGTGTTCAAAGAATCCGCAGCACTTGAATCGTTAAAAATCGGCGGCTACGACTTCAACAACGGCCTCGACCTCACCGGCCTCCTCAACTCCCTCGTCTCTACTGGTTTTCAGGCCACAAATCTGGGAGAAGCCATGGAAGTCGTCAACCAGATGGTATCAAAAACTCCCAAAACCCCATTATTATCATAAACATGCATTAATATCAACCTGCATTGTCTTCAAAGTTTGCATATTTATGACTTTATTATGCAGAACATGTATGTATGAAAGACTGCAAATAAAAAAATTTCATCCGAACTAAATGATAAGAAAATGCTGACTGAAATTTGAATTTGTGAAGATAAGCTGGAGGTTGGCGGATGAGGAAGTAGCAGTTGATGGAAGTGAGGAGACGGATCGGGCTTTTAGGGAGTCTGTGAAGTGCAAGATATTTCTTGGCTTTACATCTAATCTCATTTCGTCTGGGGTTAGAGAGACTATAAGGTTTCTGGTGCAGCATCGCATGGTGAGTGCCTTCGTTTTCTTCTTCTTTATAAATTTGGAGAAAATGTTAGATTTGTATTGAAAACTTTTATGTGACCATTTTCATGATTTCAGGCCTTATTATTTTTCATTGATTCTTTTGCGATACAAATGCATTTGATTGTACGGCTTATAGGATTCACTGTTCACTGAAACCTTAATAGAACCATGGAAGTGAGTTATAGGAGTGTTCTTTTTATTTATATTATAAATTTATGTATAAAATGTTGCATTTTACTTTAAAAAATAAATAATATTTTATTTTTTGAATTTTAATGTTATTGGAAATAAATATGAAAATAATTATGTAGTATTTTGCAGCCCTTTCTGTATTTGGGCCTTTTTATATGATGTCACTTTCAGTATTTTTGAGAAAATGACATTGTTCCGAAAACTCCATTGTCAAAATCAATTTACAAGGAAATATGACATATCAGATCACTATTTTAATAATTACATTTAAATTAACAGTAATCGACCTATGTCTTTACCATAAATTATGAAAAGTGGAGATTAGAAATAGGATCAAAACAGTTTGTTGTTCGCAAACAGCTCGTGTTCCGCTCATTCGCTAAGTTAACAAGCCAAACACGAATAACACGAACAATATTTGTTCGTTCGTATTCGGCTCATTTTGGCTCGAAATACTACTAATCAATTATATATATATGTGTGTGATTTTTATTTTTAAAAAAATTAATTCACTACAAGACTACAAAGATTTATAATCAATTAAAGTTATTAATTACAAAAATAGAATAAAAATTATTAAATTAAATTCAAATAATATTTTAAAGCTTGTCATAATCTTTAACATCTTATAGTTATATGATTAAAGTTGTGAAAACGACTCTTTATTTGTGAAAGATTTGTATTCGGCTCATTAAGTAAATGGGCCAAACAAGAATACATCTTTTTTGAGCTCGAAATATAAGCTACCAGCCTTTACAGCCCAAGTTGGAAACATTTTAAAATAAAAAAAAAATCTGGATGCTGATTTTGGGTGTCTTGTTGTAATAAAAGCTCTGTTCCCTTACAGTAATTTTCTGTACAGCTGTCTTTTATCTTACTGCTGTGGTCCCTTTCAAATTTCCATTTCCAAGAAAGTGTTAATTACATTTCTGACATCTCAAAATTGCGATAGCGATAACTCAATTAACCTGCAGTTAAAGTACAACCCAATGTAAAAAGTTATGTTTCACTTGCAGCTTTTTTTTTTAAAAAATTACTGATAATATATCTTAGTCTTTAAATTCATTTCTTATAATATTAAGAGATTGAGTCAGTTTATTTGTCCTCTTATATTAGCATAACGAAAGATAAAATGATATTTCGTAGGGATAAAATTGATATTTTGTGGTGGACAAAAGATTAAATTGTTCATGAAAAAAATCTGAATTTTAAAGGAAAAAAATGTTCTTTATGGACTCTACATTGGGTTTGGCTTTGATAGCTCTTTAGTGTTAGTATTTTGCATAAAATTTTGGGTATTATGCATGAAAATATTAAATTATAGATGCTAAATATATATATAATTGTAAATGCCTTAAAAAAAATTTATCTTGCAGTGGGCCGGATAGGTACTATTTGTCTTCATTACCTAACAGAGCAAAGTAAATTATTGGCCACCAACCCCTGAACCAAAAACAGTTAAAAAGGGATCATGTACATACATACTATACAATACTTATGGATTTATAACATATCTGACATTTAAACTTTAATTTTGACATCACGAATCTTTCATATCTCACAAAAAAAAAAAAAACAATTTTTTTTACTTTTGAAATGTAGATGTTAGATTATATGTAAATAAATAAAAACTGAGTGATATGAATATAAATCTTCCAAAGAAAAAAAGAAAGGATTATAAATATTTTGCTAAAAATAAAAAGAAAAAACAAAAAAAAAATGGATGGTGCAGGTGGATGTGCTGGTGACGACTGCTGGCGGTATAGAAGAAGATTTCATTAAATGTCTGGCTCCTACTTTCAAAGGGGATTTCTCTCTGGGAGGAACATTTCTGCGCTCCAGAGGATGGAATAGGATTGGCAACTTATTGGTGCCTAATGATAATTACTGCAAATTTGGGGATTGGATTATGCCTATTCTCGACAAAATGCTCGAAGAGCAAATTAATGAGGTTTTCTTTCTAATTATTTTTATGTGGATTTTGTAATATATATGCCTTTTTTTAAATTATTAATATATTATTTTGTATGAAATATATATATATATATATATATTTTTTTTTTTTTTTTTTTTTTTTTAAAATCTTTTATAGAAAGCGCACTGGACGCCATCGAAGGTGATTGCCCGTTTGGGAAAAGAGATAAACAATGAGAGTTCATATTTGTATTGGGCGTCCAAGGTGAAGCAGACGTTCCTTATTCTAGATATAGTAATATTAGAGTTAATTTCGCATGTTCTTCCTCTGAGAAGTGAGAACAACTGAGCTATATTCAGAAGACCATGCTATATATACTTTCATTTTCAATTTGGGACATTTTTGAATTATTATTCTTATTATTATTATTATTTTTATTTTATAATAATCTGAGATAAATTGCAAAATATGATACCCTAATTTGTGACCATGGAGATGCTAGGGGTGGTTCCATAGGTAGCAAATATTACATCTGAACTCTGGACAACGTCCGGAGTCCAATGATGGGACACCACATGTCAAATAGTTCCACTGTAATACACGCTTCCATTTGTTAGCTTTAAAATTTATGGGGCTCACTTGACACTTGCATCCCTATTATTAGACTAAGGATGCATGTGGAGTTCTGACCTAATTTTTTTCTCAATAGGCACAGTAAGTCTTAATTATATACATAAGATCCATTTTAATTATGTTGCCCTTCATGAATTCAGAATGGCATACCAGTCTTCTGCCCGGCAATCACCGATGGTTCGATAGGGGACATGCTTTACCTCCACTCATTGCGCAATCCTGGCCTCATTATAGATCTCGTTCAAGGTTACTTCTCTTAATTATTTTTTTTTTTTTTTACATAATTCAAGATAATTTTATTGCTTATGAACATATTATTAAAAGTAATAGCAATTATTATAACGTAAGTTTATATATGCATGCAGACGTGAAGGCAATGGACGAGGAAGCTGTTCATGCAAGCCCTAGAAAGACTGGAGTCTTAATACTCGGAGGAGGAGTTCCAAAGCACCATATCTGTAATGCCAACATGCTTCGTAACGGTGCAGATTATGCCGTGTTCATCAACACCGCTCAGGAATTCGACGGCAGTGATTCTGGAGCTCGGCCTGATGAAGCTGTGTCTTGGGGAAAGATTAAAGGCACTGCAAAAACTGCTAAGGTATGAATCAATAACTAAATTAAATTGAGACTTTTATGAATTTTGGGACTAAAATGGCCCTTACATAGAGTCAGGGGATCATTATATTTGTAAATATGAAAGTTTTGCTGTGAGACATGAAAATATACAGAGTTATGTGCTATATATGTAAACGTCCCGTGAAATTTAAACCATTTTTTTTATTTAGTTTTCAAATACATAGGCATTTAGATTTGTAGTAATGTGTCATTTTTCAAAACTAAATATGATTTATAACTTCAAAATAGACAACAAAGGTCACATATAATGTAACAAAGGTCACATATAATGTAAATTTAGTGCTTTTGTATTCAAATTATAACATCCTCATAAAGCTTAAAGCTATATATAAAAATGCTTTTTTTTTTAAAATAAAACAGGTCCACTGTGATGCTACTATTGCATTTCCTCTGCTGGTGGCTGGTACATTTGCAAAAAAAATCAACAAAGCAGCAGCTCAGGCCAATGGGATTAAAGCTTAAAAAGGTACCTTTTATGGTATTTTTGACATCTTATATATGGATTGCGCATTAATTTAGTCATTTCATGCATATATATCCGAATTAATACTTCTTTTTATTTTTATTTTTTTTAGATATGAGGATGACGTATCTAAATAACCAGGGAACTATAAGAAGTCTATCTGGAAGTTGAGTGACTGCTAATTAGTATCCAGGATTTAGCTAATAATAAGCTAGGTTCTATCTTTGAGTTTCAGACTGTATTGTAATGGAATATTATCTTAATTTAAAAAATTAAGTATTGGTTATTATGCTAATTATGTTTTAATTTAGCAGTCTGGAGTAGTTTTTTTCTTGATGAACTTAAAATTACGTATGATTTGTATGCTGCTTTTATTTGTACGTCATTTTATGTTTTTTTATTATGTTCATAGTATGGTACTGGATCTATAGCCAAGCATACTAATAGATGAAAATGCATCGTAATTCTTCAAAATCCGTAGGAAATGATATGTTTGTGTGTATAGCGATTGAAGCTTGGGTGTTAGATATGTAAATTCATAAGATTGAGTGGTACGCATGTATTTCTTTTTCATGAAATGATTGTCCGGTTGAGGCCACGCCAGGCCGCATGTATCCCACAGAGGAGCGTATTTTCTGTCCGGACTCCTGACGTAGTTCTATATGCGGCGGAGATTATTCTTGAGTTATTTTAAAGTTATTTCTGGGTTATTTTCAATAATCCCGAAATAACCCAAAAATAAAGACCGTGGGTTATTTTTGGGTTATTTTGAGATTATTGAAAATAATCTAAAAATATCCTGAAAATAATTTAGGAATAACTTCCGCCGCACGTAGAGCTACGTCAGGTGTCCGCACAGAAAAATTAGACCCCACAAAAGCCTATACATCTGTTGTCCTAAGGACGTGCGGTAATATTTGCTTGAAATTTTTGTCTCAAATCAATTATGCAATTATCCAATAATAGTCAATCCTATTCTTATCCTCAGATTCCCCTCTATCAATGTTGAGTGTATATTCGCATATTCTTAAGAATTTAAAGGAGTAACTTGTATGGACCATCAAATATGTGGTGCTATGCTCCAGTTCTCAGAAGTTTTATCTTCTTGTGACATAAGCATCCATAGATGCTCAGATTGTGGCAGGGAAAATGACAAGCATTTTAACTTTGATGGTCACATAACTATATTCTTATGAAAGTAGGGCAACTGAGAAAAGATAGTTGGAAATTAAGAGAGTGAATGAGGGGAAATTTTGTTTTTTATGAATTTTATCTATGTAAATAAGCCCATTAATTCCAACATTTGTAATTTTGAAATGAATTAATTCATGAAATGATAAGGGAGATGAGACTAGTTCAAAAATGGCTTTAATATTGTCTTGTAGAACTTCGCATATGAATTGTTTAATGAGCTAGATTTGAGTTGGTTCATGAGCCTCCTAAACTTAATTACACCTTAAATGAAAGTTGGTTTATGGTGCTTGATGTCACATAACTTGAGTCGATCTATTCATCTTTAAAATAAAGGCATAAAATCAAAGTTCTGCCTAAAGTTGGAGTGAAATCATTGGTCTTACCCAATACATGCAAGAGTTATATTTTTGAGATTTTTTTCTTTAAGGATAAATTTTTTTTTTAAAAAAAATTAATTAAAAATAATTGACAAGATCACTTAAAATTTTGTAAGCTTACGATCAATTATAATGAGCATAAGATATCAACTCATTGTATTAATTCAAACAATGAGAATGTGCTATTTTGTCATGTATATTTTGATAGGTACATAAATATGATGTAGAGATTTTTGGGCAGTGTCATCATATGGAGCTCGTGAATCAATTTTGGTGAGCACATAGGCAACCTACGTGATTGTTACATCTGAATGAATGTGGTTTGACATTAATTTCTTTGACTTGGGATGTCCGATGGTGCGACTATGTAGAAAGATGCACAATAGAATGATCCAGAAAATGAAATAGGAGAGGATAATGCTCAAAGGAAAGGTCATTACATGAGATCACTTAGTAGTAGGGTTACATGATGTTACATGGCTATGAGAAATTGTCATGTGAAACTTATACACATAGTCTTTATTTAAATGCTGTCATTTTATAGTTATTTTAACTTATTTAGAGTTCATAGACTCGTGATTAGACAATTCTATTTTGTCAAGTGATTAGAATCATAGGAAGGATGATAAATCTAATCAATTTACAATTACTGTAATATGAAATATGAAACAGTATGTTTTAGAGTTTTTTTTTTTAAATCAACTTATATGTCCCTCTCAATAATTAATTATCATCATGATTATGAAAAATGATTAGTTATTTTTGATATTATTGATGAATATAAAGGCATATCAAATCGAAATAAAATGACAAAATTATTTGATTCATCTCATAGAACATAACTTAGAAATCTCAGTTCAAGTTGAATATATATAAAATCTAATTTTTATATAAATTTGAATAAATTTAATCACAAATTCACACATATCACATATTATAGGACTTAGAAAAGGCCTATTAGGCTGATGCCCACCTCTGAACAATCTTATGATGATGGGCTGCATAATTTGTTGAAAACACTATTTTAAATGGAGATTTCAGAAATTTACCAACTAAAGGAAGATTTTCGAAATCTGTCAAATGAATATAAATTTTTTAACTTTAATTGAAACATTTCACCCCCCCCTGTTTTTCAGAATTTATGGAGGCTCTAATATTCCATAAATAATAATACATCAAAAACTTAAATAACTAGCCACAAATAAATAGAGGAAAAATATTTTTATCTTAAATGATAAAATTAAAATTAATTTTTATGTTTTAAATTTAAAGTTTACCTGAATTAAATTTACATCGTATTACTCATCATTTAAAAATAAAATAGTTCCCGTAAATAGGGGTAGCTCGTGTACGGTTTGTTTATATTTTGAGCTCAAAAAGTGTGTTCGTGTCTTTCACGAACAAAAGTTCTTTTGACAACCCTAATCAAGTAGTCATAGGATGTTAAGGATTGGGGCAAGATTTAAAACATTATTTGAATCTAATTTAATAATTTGTTGAATCTAATTTTCTAATTTAATAATTTGTATTCTATTTTCTTCATTAATACTTTTAATTGATTAGAAATCTTTGTAGCCTTGTAGCCAATTAGTTTTTTTTAAAAAATACTACTCATCAAAGATTATATATAATTGATTAGTAGTATTTCGAGCCAAAACAAGCCGAACACGAATGAACAAATATCTGTTCGTGTTAGGCTCGTTAAATTAGCGAACGAGCCGGATACGAGCTTCTTAATGAGCCGAACAAGAGCTGTTCGTAAACAACCAGTCATTTTGACAGCCCTACCCGCAAAGATACTTTCCTCGTTCAGCTCTCTCTCTCCTCTCTCTCTCTCTCTATTTTTTATTGTATCTCATTATTCATTAGATGATTTACATAAATACCACTTAATTTCTATTTATTTACATAATCATTTTTACATAACTACCATCTTATGCATGAAATAGCGTGCTTCACTAATAAAATAACAAAGAAATTTTTGCTGTGACAAAATAAAATTTAGATTTTTTATATGTAAATACATAAAAGGGGATGGTATTTATGTAAATACTCATTATTTAACTTAAATTGTCATGATCCACTGTACGATGACAGTGGAGAATCAAAGTCATTTTTATTTAAATCTTTGACATGACCTTTTTTTTTTGTAAAGATTCCCAGTAGATTCGGATCCAATCATCCAAATGCCCGAAATGGATTAAAATTATAAGAAAAATAAGAATAATACAAATATATATATTCACTAGAAAATAGACACAAATTTTTTAGAATTAAATTTAGGATCTTATTTACATTAATGCCATGAGATTTTTATATATTTATATATCTAAGATCTAAATTATGTTTACATATACAACACTCAAATTTTTAAAATTACATAAAGAATATCATTAGTATTTAAAGTTTAAAAGTAAAAATACATGTTTTTATGTGAAGGTTTATGCCAAAAAAAAGCGATAGAAATATAATTAAATATAAAAATTTAGATGTTAAAGACAAAAGAATTGTGTGATATTTAAGTTGAATTCGCTAAATTTTAAGATCATTTAAATTATTTTTTCAATAATAGTTGGAATAAATGCTTTTATAAGACGAGTCCAACAATATTAAGTGTTATTATGATCACCAGTTACATGAACTCAATTACATCATTAGTTCGAACAGAGTGATATATGAACTTTATGCAATCAGAGAATCAATGAGTGCATGATCACTCAATTTCAATATCATTAAATAGCTTAAATACAAACAAAAAAAAAGTCCTACGATTGAGACAATCAACATAGGTCATCCAATATAATGTTTAACCATCTCGACAAAAAAAGTCAATATAACATTTTAGAAATTTATAGGTATATACTCCTTCTCTACATGAAAAAATGTTGAAATTTAGAAGATCCTAGAGATTGAAAGAAACACCAATTCTAGACCGATATTCAACGCCTATGCATTACTAGTTATCATCATCGCTTGAGTGTTATTACCAAAACATCACTGCCTAATCATTACCTTTCTATCCCAATTATGATCGATTGATTAGCATCACTCGATTGCAATTATTTGATCATCACCTTCATCTAACTAATTATTGACTGTTATCATTAACTTTGATTATTTCTTCAACATTCCCAGCTACAACTGATAAGCCAAGTTGGCACTTTGTACCGTGTTCTTATTTTCTTCGATTGAGAGGAAGAGCGCACTTTTAAGTTCTCACTTACATAATAAGTTATTTCATGTAAAAACTTTAGTATCACTTTTAGTATAAAATCTTTGCATAGAACTACAAAATTTAACATAAATGTCCTTTTTTTTTGTAAATATCAATTTTTTATTTTATTTTATTTTTGAAAAGTAATATCATTTGATTTCATAAATCTCTTAATCATCATTAATAATGAAATTAAATAATTTCAAACCATATTCAAATTTAAACTACAATTACAAATGAACTACGAATAAATATACATAGACAAAAAATATATTGCTTTACCGCTAGCTATAAGAGAACAAATCCACACATTACTAAGTTTGTAGTGACCTTCCCATAACCATATGGAGAAAACTCTTGTTTTTGGCAACATGAGTTGCTTGACCTTACTTGTGTCATTAGGCTAAAAAGTGCCCATCAAATTGCTCAAATTCCAAGTATTTATTTATTTATAGTAATATATTTCAAATTGCTCAAAACATTTATTTTTTTACTTTGGGGCAT